GGAAACAAAGCTATGTGAAATTCAATTTAATCATGAGACCTACCCATATAATTAAGATAAAATTCATCTACCAGTCCTTCGTTAGCTAAAGGAGAATATACCTCATATAAATGACCTACTGTTAGTTCCGAAACTTTCTTATAAACTAAGAATATTCGAAAACTAATCGGTACCATCTTGTTTCTCATTGCAATGATTTATGTGTACCTTTCTCTCTGCATCTGGCACAGGATCCCTTGGTATTGGATCAGAACTTTTGCCCGGTCCACCAGGTGCCAAGATTCTGTCTCGGCCTTTGATGACTGTCGGGACCACCATGCTACCTTTTGGGTTCCTCTTCCTGCTGGTCTCGACTGTTGCAGCTTTGCTGGCTCCAAAAATGCTGCGGACTGGGTTATCTCGAGGGGAAGGTTGAGACGAACTAAAGTGGGCGCGTCCAGATGGGCGAGAGGGCAAACAAGCATGATGTTGAAGTCTGGCAGAAGATTTGAACGTGGAGCAGTCGCTTGCCATAAAGCGATCTGGTTCAGAATTTTAGTCCAGAGAAATTTATGTGGAGGGGGTTAGGGAGTTGAGGGGCAGAGCATAAATAATAATGTACTGAAATGAAAGGGGTATATGCAAGCCGAAAAAGAAGGTTGGGAAGAGCGAGGCCTAGAGAAGTGGCGAAATGAAATTCAACTTGTCGGCAACAATACATCACAGAATAGCATTAAGGCAGATAGGAGATGTCGACAAGTGATGCCGCTGCAACCTTTGCCACATGAATTAGTTTCAACGACAGTTGAACCTCATATTTTTGGATGACGGAAAAAGACCAAATCTGGAGAAGCTAATTACAAAAATTAGAATGTCAGTCATGGACCTATTCACCTTTCTTGTAAGAGCCTGGACGAGAATAATTCAGGGTTTGGACGAAAAGAGGTCTGTAAAGATTTGTATATTGTTGACCCTAACACAGAGGTATTCATCTTAACATTCTTCGATTCCGATGAGCCAATGTTGAGGCCTTATAAGCCCTGCTGTGATGGACCTCCTTGGAGAGAGATTACATTTTATTTTTCGCAGATATCAAAGCCAAGATGGTGGTTGTTCTGCTTTGGTCGCAGTCTCCTTTCGCTACTTAGAAGCGGTTTGGCCTAGTTTTCGCAATTTGATCATGTTGTCAGGGCGATATAGATGAACACGCCCTACCCAAAGTCATATGCCATATAAGTCATGATAATGTTCTGCTAACAACCGTTTACTTGGCAGATTCGTAGGAATTTATCCAGATTCATCAGTACGCAAAACGATTTTTGTATCCTTCCATCTACCCACTATACTCACTATCTCAAGCTTCTACTGTATTTACGCTCGAATATTTCAGAGTTGTGTCCTTCTGAGCAGGTGTAGTGAGGCCTTATGTCATCTCCAGCCCAAATAAATTATAAGTTTTTGATGGAGATTGAATAAAATAAAAGTACAGAAGGTAGGTTGGTTTACCAAGACAGAAGGAGGAGTAATAACAAAATAGTTGAAAGAATGAACTTCACTTACCTCTTTAAAAAGTTGGCAAACTAAAATTTGCCATAAAATTTAACGTTATTACTATAAAGAAAATGAGTAGCATTTAAAAAACAGAGAATTTTTAAAAGAAAGGGGGCGCGACAAGAAAGGCGTCAAGCCTGAGAGGCAATTTGGGATAAAACTCATCGACCTTCTGTTAATTCCATTTTTGGAAAGTTAAATAGCAGGCCTTTTTTTACAGATAGAGCGAAGTAATGGCTTTAGCTCATGCAAAATCAACTGATTAATTTACTTACTCTGACAATTAAAGAATTTCTGTGGAAATAATGATAAGTACTGTAGTTATTTTGTTTCTAAACTATCAGGACAACGTTGCTTAATGAGGTGTTATCGGAAAGATTGAGAATTTTCCCATTATTAGTTAGAGAGAAGCCTTAGTTTTGCAGTAAAGTTCATTACAACTATGTGTTTCATCATACAGTCAGTGTCCAACCTTAACTGTGGCTTCATTTATGCCTTATCACATTCATACTCCCATCGACGAAACTCGATCTATGGAAATTGGGCTTCATATAGAAAGACTTTACCCACAAAGCCACAGTCAAAACCAGTTGTATTATAAGCCAAGATAAGCTCTAAAAACAATCTTAATCATCCTATATTTCAGAGTTGTTTTATTAGAAGTATGAGGATTTCACAAATAAGCACACAATTACCCAGAGTCAAGTACGTGATAGAATAAAAGTTTAGAGTATTTTGTTGCTTAGAGTTAATTTATAAAATGCCAGAAACCTGCATGGTTTTTGGCAGATACGAGGAATCTGTGCCGGAATCTCGTCACGTAGTGACAATAGTTTTAATCATTCATGGACCAACGGTATGTAATCAAGCGCCCCCAATACCAGATCTAACCGAGATCCTACATCAGACCTTGAAAGAAAATGGTGAAGTTGATAGAGGACTCTCGCCTGACGAATGACTATAAATGACTGAAATGCACCAGTTGCCCAACAACCAGTTACTCTCTCCACTTCGACGAACCAGCCTTGCATAAAGTCATCACGGCTAGTCGAACAAAAAAACCGGGAGAGAGTAAAAATCCAAAATTCGAATTATGTCTACATGCATGTTGTAAAACCGGCTGGTATTTAGGCATAATAGGCATAAATTAGTAAAAGTTACACTAACTGTTTGGGACATCTTTAGAAATGTGACTTACTCGCGTTATTGTGCGACAGGATGCCTCTTGGATTAATCGGTTTGGTAACCTAATTGGATAAAAGTTAAAGTATACTTTTTTACCAGATAAATAAAGACACGATAAGTGCATCAGTTAATCTAACAAAGTGCTTGGCGTTTATTGCTGAATTGCGAGCAATCATATTAAAGGTATAAGCACTCCATTTTTGTTTGCCTACGTAAAGAATAAATTGCAAGTGTATTTAATTAATGCTCTGTGAAAAGGCTGACTAAGTAATGTACACATTGTATGGGAAAATAATTAGTTATTATTGAATAGCATTAGTGGTTAATAGTCAGTAAATTTGAAAGGAATCGTTCGGGCAGATAGCCAATATGTTACCCCCTTAGCGATTAAATGCAAGTAAATGAGTAATCAAGTCAATCTATCATTTTATTACAGAATTTTCTGTTTAATTGCTCGATTATACGCATTTTAATATGGGAGCTTGTCTTCTTAATTAGTTGTAAAATTGCTCAACAGAGTATTCATTTTCATAAATTTTCTGTCATTGCTTTCAATCTCTTGGTGAGTCTGTAGAATAAAACCAATTTATCAAATAAAATATATCTCGTAAGTAACTGAAGTTGGCATGCATTTGTGTTCTCTATCCCTACCTGTTTATAAAAGCTAATGCCT